TCTCCAAAGTAAGAATAGAACTCCTTGAATACCTGTCTCCTTCCCACCCCCTGAATCTTGGGTACTGCTGTCTAGTCTGTCTTCCTTTGATATCAGGTTAGACCATTTCATTAGTCCAATTCTTTAAACCAGGAACTACTCTGTTTCCGAAAGAGCCCTGGGGCAGTGGAAGGAGGCACACAGGGCAGATTGGTGCTCAAGTCACAGCTAGAGGAGGCCTAGGTTGAGCTAGAAAGTTGGTTGGGTTTCTATATGAAATGACCAAATGGTGGCTTTGGATGGACACTGGGGTCAGGATTAGGTCATACTAGAAAAAATATGCGTTGAGGATGGAAGAAGTGATTAAGAGGAAGAGTTAGGATGGTGTGGAGATGGGATTCGGTTACAGTCAGGAAAGTGAGAGAGAAGAGATCAGCCACAAACAGAAGAAGCTGCACTGTGGCTGCCACTGTGTTCTGAATTCAAAACCAGGAATATTTGTAACAATGCAACTGACCTGACTTTCTTTAGAGGAATTTTAAAAGCAGTTTTTGTTTTTTTTTTAAAGACTCATGAAGGTTTTATATCAGAATTAGCTATGACTTGGCTTGTAATGAGGTGAAGTTAATTAGTTTTTTTCTTATGTCCCAGGCTTGGCTAGCCCAAACCTGACTAACCTAGGGCCAGGACATGGCCAAAAATAATGACCCTAGCACTGGCTACTTTTCTCAACAAGACTCCGTTCAAAGTTACTTCAAAGCACTTGTTCTTTTTTGGTAGAGGGTCAGTTATGTCACGCTCTCTTAGAAAATGCACTACTTTACTGGGGGATTTACTTTTGAGTTGGTGTGTTAGCTTCACAGGATTTGATTTTTAAATGCTGAATACTTAAAAATACATGTTTTACTTCTTCTGTTTGAGATGAGTCTTTTAAGGAGTAATAGACACCACAATAAAAGCTAGCGTGGTTTCCACTGTCATTAAAAAAGGTATTTGCGTGAAGTGCTGCTTTTTCTTAAGGAGCACTTGAGTACAGCATCGCTCAGCAACACATAAATCAACTTTGACACCTTATCATCTGTATATTCAGGTTTCAATCAAGTCTTTCCAGTGATGGGACAGATTGAGTCTTTTAAACTGAGCAAGTGAAAGGTGTCATGTTGTCATCTTCATCTTTAGGTTGGCAGAAAGTTTATAACATTTTGGAATTAGAATTTTTTTCAATTTATCCTCTTGGGCCTCCAGCTTCTCAGCTTCTGTTCCCTCTTCATGTTTTTTATACCTAAATATCCTTACAGGGTCTTCTCTTCAGTTCTGAGATCTAAGGTAAGCCCCTTAGCATGGTGCGCAGAGCTTGCCAGGAGCTGCTTCCCTTCTCCTCTCCTATGAAGCAGAAGGGCTTTAGCCAAGCCAAACAACAGTTTTCCATGCATGCTATGTTCTTTGATATCACTGTTTCTTCAAGCCCACATTGTTTTCTTTGTTGGGGAGTACTCTTGCTGGCTAAGCCCTGCTCATCTTTCCAGATAATGTCTGGATTCTCAGACAACTTCAGTCTGATTCTTTCAGTTTGAGTTAAGGGCCCCTTCTCCTAGGCTCCTAAGCAAATCTTGGTCATAGGACTTTAATATTGGATTTCAGTTGTTTACTTGTCTCATACTAACCTGGGAATTTCTTTTTTTTTATTTCTTTTTAATTAATTTATTTTTTATTCATTTATTTATTTTTGGCTGCATTGGGTTTTCGTTGCTGCTCGTGGGCTTTCTCTAGTTGCAGCGAGCGGGGGCTGCTCTTCGTTGCTGTGTGTGGGCTTCTCATTGCGGTGGCTTCTCTTGTTGCAGAGCACAGGCCCTAGGCACACGGGCTTCAGTAGTTGTGGCTCGTGGGCTCTAGAGCACAGGCTCAGTAGTTGTGGTGCACAGGCTTAGTTGCTCCACAGCATGTGGAACCTTCCTGGACCAGGGATCGAACCTGTGTCCCCTGCACTGGCAGGTGGATTCTTAACCACTGCGCCACCAGGGAAGTCCTGGGAATTTCTTGAGGGACAGGAATTCTGTCTTATCTGTTTATCCCTGTCCTTTCTGGGGGTTTCATGCAGCTGATTTTTTCATTATCTGTGACAGGGCTGACTTTTCTTTCCTTGTGAAGAAGTAGTTCTTTATTACTGGGGGGTTTTGACCAGAGGCCCAAGACCTCTATTATTTATAAATTTAACAGTTATTTTTTTGAAGTATCCATACTGTGCCAAGGGCTGTGCTTTTGTTTACTACTACTGGAAGGATATAGATTCAAGCATCATATAAAAGGTTATGCTAGATGTAACAGTAAGTGAAAAAAGTTTGGAGGAGCAAAAAATTAAAGCAAGAATTTTTGAAGATACAAAGTATCAGGAAGGCTATTCCATGGTTTTATGAAGATTTCCACAAGGGGAGAAAAAGTTAAGAAGAGTTCGTTTTGAATACATATTTTTACAACTGGTATAGAAAAATTGCTTCATCAATTTATGTATCCTAAGCTCAGGAAACACTCCTCAGTAGTTTGCTTCCAAGAAGCAAAAAAAATCTGCCATGATAAAAGGTAGATACTGCCATACTCCTTAGTGAATTGGTGTGTGTGGATTTCTGAAATTTTATTCATATATTTAAAAATTCACCAAATTTTTATTTTAAAATTTAATGTATTTAGAAACATTCTTTAATCTAGTTTCAATTTTAGAACAATGTTAGGAATGAAAAGTCAGTCTTGTATGTGGACAGCGTTTTATATCTATAGTGGCTATCTATATCCGTATCATATCTATCTCTACATCTATATCTATATATCTGTATCCATACAGGCTGTCTCAGAAATTATATCTAAAGGTATTTCTTTTTCTCTTTTGCTTTATTTGGAAAATATTGAAAAATGAGCAAAAAGTAAAAGAAAAACAAAATTTCTTATTTGAAAGTAGGGTAGGATATTATATTTAAAATAAAGAAAGCCCCTCAACCATTCATTTCTACCCTATGCTGTTAACATTTGGGCACTTCTTCTCCTGACTTCTAAAGATGCTCTTGTTAACACAGTGTAGTCATGTGCTGCATGCTGTCTTTTATGATAGCAACTTTAAAGGTTCCTTTTCAGAATTACTCTATCTTTGTTCTGCTTTGAGCTATATTTGTATTTATTTATTTTCAGATCATTTATTTTTTACAAAAGCAAACAAAGCACATTGTTTTTAAAAAGAGTAAAAAAGTGTAGACATTATGTAGTAGAAAGCAAAATTTTCCTTTGTCACCGTTCTTCGGGGTAACTCATTAATATTTTGGCATATAGTCTTCTAAATAACTGTGAACTGTGAATTGTAACCTTTTTCCCTTCTGTTTTTGTTTTTTAATAACAGGGTCACACTTTCCACACTCTGTCACTTATATTATTCATTCACTAATGCTTTATTTCATGGCTACTCTTCCCTGTCACCACATGTGAGTCCATCCCAGGCTTTTTACTGACTACGTAATATTTCACGGAATAGATCTACTGTAATAAGCTGTTGTCCATTAGGGTGTCTCCATTATTTTGCTATTAGAAATAACATTGTAACAAGCATGTTTGTATCTTGTACACAAGCGTGTATTTCTGTAGTGTAATACCTAGGTGTGGATTTGCTTGGTTGGAGGGATTGCATATGTAAAGCTTTGCTGTAATTTAAAGGATAAACTCTTCTTCAAGACTTTCAACAATTTTTAACTGTAAACAATAAAGTTCTGATTTGAGAATAAACATGGTTTAAAAGGAAAGACGGATTCCTGTTTAAAAGGAAAGATGGATTCCTTTCCTGAGGGCTCAATGAGACAGTACATTTCAGGGAGGGTTATTTGTTTTTCTCCTCATGTTTTAACCTGGATTTTCTGTGATATGTAGAACCTTTGAGAGAAAGTATTACTCGGTCTCCCTGCTGCTTTACAAAAGAAATCTATGTTCTTATTGGTGGCATCTCCCTGATAATGCTATTATTTCATTGCATGTTGGTATTCCTTGTGATGAACAATAATGTTTTTGGTTGAATTCTAATCTGTACAGTATGGTATAGTACAGAACAAAAACTGTTCTGTGGGGTAATTTATCTTAAAAGAAATACATGAAGGTGACTCGATCAATAAAAATAGTAGCCCCAGATTGTCATTTTACTTACACATTTAAGTTCTTTTCTTATAACCTTGAAAACAGTTGTAAATATGTCTTGTTTGAATAAAGGAAAGCTTATAGATGAACGTCAAATACATTTTCTTTTTCCAAAAGGATCACCTAATTGAGGCTATAAACCTTATTTTTAGGTTATAAGAGTGGGTTTGTAAAGTTATATGTTCATGGCTTTTCATGATACCACATACAATTAGGTGTTTGGTACTTATTTAAGGTACTATCTCCAGCTAACTTAAGTTTATTCACCTACATCTTTGAGTCCATTTCACTCCAGCTATTTTTACAGATGTATCAAATTGCTATTTGAGAACTATATTACAGATTTCAAATTCATGTTTAAAAGACAAATTGGCTCACTGTCTTTATGGCTGTGGAATTTGTCTTAAACACTGGGAACCTTAATAGTCAACCCATTTAGGGCTATATAGACATATATTGGAAGAAGGGTTTTGTATTTAATATATAACTTTATTTATTTATTTTTTGAATTTTATTTTATTTTCTTATACAGCAGGTTCTTATTAGTTGTCCATTTTATAATCCCAATCGCCCAATTCAGCACACCACCATCCCCACCCTCCCTGCGGCTTTCCCCCCTTGGTTGTTCTCTACATCTGTGTCTCAATTTCTGCCCTGCAAACCAGTTCATCTGTACAACTTTAAATAATTTATTTTGGCATTCAGAAAATGACTTTATTTTTCTTTAAGACTTCATAATCTTTCTAGTCTGATCTGCAAATGTCTATCTGCTATTCTTTTTGTCTATAAGATATACTTTTGAGGAGGTGATACTCACTTATTTCAAAGATTATTTTGTTTTTTTCTCCTTTTTACAGGAAACAGGCATCATTGTGGGTCCAAGGAGACATTTTCCGATCCAAACTGAAAAATAGACCATCCAGTGAAGGAAGTATTAATAAAATCCTTTCTAGCTTGGATGATATGTCTATTGGTGGAAACTTATCTAAAATACAAAACGTGGAGAGATTTGGAGAGGTGAGTTTTTTCCAGGAGGATTTTCGTGTCTCCTTAAGACTAATGTTCTGCATTTCTTTGTTTCCCAATTGAACACATATAACATAGCCACATCTCTTCTCTGAATGCTGCAGTACTAAATTTTTAGGCATGGAGTCAACACCTATAAAGCAATAATAAAAGCAAAGAAAGCAATTATCCTTAAAAAGAAAAAAGCTGTAATTTAAGGAGTACAATTATAAAGGAGTCTACTCTGGTTTGGAAAATACAAAAAAGAAATAGAAAAGCAAACTTTCTCTTTTAAAATGGAAATAGGTATCAACAAGAAAAATCTTAATGGAACAGTTGGATATTACATACCACAAGTGGTACATTGAAGCCTCAAATTCATGATTTCTAAAGTAAGTCCAGAGTTGAAAACATAATCAGGGGCAACCTTTTTTTTTTTTTAATTGAGACTCCATTATAAACAAACCACTTTAAACAATTGACATACATCGTCTGATTTAATCTCCATAACTACCTGGTGAGTTAGTCAATATTATCTCTATTTTATAATAAGGAAATTGAATATTAGAGAAGTTCTCAGTGTCAGAAACATGATTCAGTCCATGTCTATCTGATTTCAAACCCATATTTTTTTCTATTACACTTGCTACCTCAATAAAAATGGTAGTGATTCACTAAGAATTAAGATCATGGGCATTTTTGGAGGTAGAAGCAACCTTGAAATAATTTGTTCTAGTTTCCTCTCTTGTGTGGATCAGAAACCCGGGTCGCACAAAATTTTTTACTTGCCCAAGGTTACAGAGTTTTCAAGTAGTGGGGCCACCTTAAGAGCTGGTAGTCTGACTCCTAGTTTAGCTCTGTCTACCACAATATGCCTGAGGTGAAGCTAAGCACCTAGTTTATATTTATATTTTTATGTCACTAAAGGGGCAAAAAAGCTATTAAAATATTTAAGTAGCAAGTGTAGGTTTACATTCAATTAGGCAGTGACCCATTAGACATGGACAAGGACCTTGAACAAGCTTAGCCCTCAAGGATGGAAAGAATGCATCATAGCTCTGTTAGGTCAACAATTGGCATCCCAAACAGATTTTTTTTCACCAGGAAAGATAACAAGAGTGCTCGGAGATAGGGAATGTTTTCTTCAAGAGGAAGGATGGGGACTGCTGGAGGAACTGAGTTTTCAACCCTGTGGTATGTTCTCCAGGACAGCCACTGATGAAGTGGCTAAGTTTACTGGTTTGAGTCATCTGTCCTGACCAAGCATAAATCTTATTAGCCAAGGTCGTGTTGATGTTCAGAGCCCTTGTAGACCTTTTCTTGTCTCTGTGTTATGGTTTGGCCTTTTCAAAGCAAACAAAAAGGATCTGGACTGACATTTTAATGAGATAATGTAGCTAAACAAGAACACTTTGTTGCTCTGGTCAGCATTTCCTCCCCAGGTTTGAGTTCAAGTAAATAAGGCTTTTGAGTTATGACCTCTGAAGAGGCACATGTGAAACCCATCCATCTATCTGAGAAATATATTTATCTTGCAGGAACATAATGCTTTTTATATCATAATCTGTATTAAACTAACATCTGGTAGTTAGAACATTTCATTCTCATACTTTTTTAGATCCCAGTTTGTTGAACTTGAGACTGATTAACATTTATTTATCACTGGAAGGGTGATGAATGCAATATGATTGAAATTTAAAATAAGTCAGTTTGAAATATGAGCATATATTCAGATGTTGGCTGTTTTACCTCGTTCCTATTTCCCACCCCCCAAATTAATTACTTAGCTCTCATTCAGAAGTGCTATTATTTTTGAAATTAGAGGACAGAAATGAAAGAGTTCAGAAATACTAGAGAATGATGGTGTGGTTAAGATTGTAGACAGTGACATATCTATGGGTTTTGGACGGCTTTATAGTTAGATGATGCTTTGTGCAAGTACCTCTTCTGATTCTGAGCCTTTTTATTGCTATGCTTATCTGGTGCTGTCTCCATGAATATGGGGAGTTAGTTTACTCAAGTGAGTGTAACAGAGTTAGTGATTGCTTTATCATTCTTGTGAATTCCAGTTGGGGAAATACGTCAAGAATGCTGCAAGGGTTTTAATGTTTCAAGTTCTATACCAATGTTCAGGATAGAAGCCCATGGAAATCCTGGATTTATTTAGTTTATATACAGAGAAAGTGCAAAAAGCCAGTGTTCTTCTAGAGGTAGTTTTTTTTTTTTTAAGTCAAAAGCAGAGATAGCAAATTATTTTTTGATTTCTATGCCTATAGGAATTTTCCTGTGATTGGTTATTAGGAAGCTTGGGAAGCTCCGTAGTTACCTGATTTGGGGAGCTTGAATGTATAGTTTTTCAGTGCTTACGGGGTGGGTAAAAGGAAAATAATCAAAAGTATGAACCAGAATGATTCAGGCCATAGTAATGGAGTAGGTTGTGGCTTTAATGAATTCTCTTCGCCCACTTAGAGTTATGAGAAATCTTTTAAAAATAGAGGCTTTTCCTTTATTGAACCTGGTCTTCAGTGCTGGGCTAGGAACTATGAAATGTACACAGCCCATCCTGTGGGTCTGGAGGGGGCTCCCTGCTTCACGGCCCTGCCTTGCACTGTCCTTTTCCTCCATGGTCCTTACCTTGCCTTCCTTGCTGGGCAATACGCTTTGTAAGGATGGAGGCTTCTATCTGCCCTCATCATAAGTCTATTCCTAGCCCACAGGGCCTTCGTAAATATTACCTGAATGAGTGAAGACTGACAGTTTCACAGAAAACAAACAAGAATACAGACATGAAACTGGTAGTAATCCAAGCTATCCAAGGGTAGCATATGCTCAAATATAAAATAGTACCAGCAATAAGTGCTCATTTTGACATTGAGTGGCCTTAGGATCCATTCTGTATTGGGGTTATTAAAAAATGGCTTTAAGTGGAATCTAATGCACTTTATTTAAAGTGCCAGATGTATAAGGAGTTAAATGAGGAGCTTACAGGGCAACAACAACAACCTAAATGGCACCTACTATGTGCCCGGCACTGTCCTAAGCACTTTATTACATGGATTAATTTTAGGCCCTAGAAGAGCTGTATGAAATAGGCACCTTTACAAGGTCCATTTCACAGATGACATAACTGAGGTGGAGGAAGCTAAGCTGCCTGCCCAAGGTCACAAAGTACAGAGCGGAGTTGTCATTTGAACCCAGGCACTCTGGCTCCGCAGTCGGCCCCTGACCGTGAGGCCTCTCACAGTGCTATGCTGCCTCTCCACTGGGTCCTCTTTGTGGCTCTAGTACATTTGCATACAGTCATTTTGGACATAACCTTAGCCAGCGTGTCCTCATAAATTTCTCGTGGAACTGCAATTGCTTTTATCTTCTTCCTACTCTAGGGTGATAGTCCAGTATTAGCACACCAGTCAGCGTGTGCTCTTGAGTTAGAGATATTAATTAGATACAGGTGCTGCTGACGTTTAGCCATGAGTTACCATGATTTATAAAACCCTTTGCCCATGAGCAGGGTACATCTTTAAAAAAATCTATGAAGTAAAAATTAAATCTCTAAGGCCCTACTTTTAAGCACCTTTCTTTCCACTCTTAGGCCCACTAAGGCATTCCAGGTCCAATCTGAAAGCCGCAGGGATCCACCAGAGGCTATCAGTAAGGGGAGTGACAGTACACAGATTCACCCTTTGAGGAGCTCACCCTGGCTGTGCTGTGGAAGGGGTGCTGGTGTCTGTGTGTGGCCCGGGGTTGGGAGGCCAGGGAGTTGGTCATGAGGCAGTGGTCCAGGTGACAGAGGTCTGAACCAGTGGCAGGGAAAAGGAAGAGGAGACGAATTTGGGGAGCTCTGATAAATCCAGACTTTTTATTGATCAGAAACAATTTATGAAGGTGACCTCTTTGCCTTTCTCCAACTTTTACATCTCATAGGTTTAACATCTGAGAGATGAAAAGAATTTTAGAGATGACCCAGTCATTTTTCCTTGCCAAATCATTTAAATCTGCTAAAAATTCCATTTTTGTCTTTTTCTTTCAGTCCTTAGACTTCTATTTTTACTTGTTTCTATTTCAAACTCTGCTTTTATGTCATTTTTCTATTATAACTCTTCCATCTTTATTCCATAGTGTGCTATATTTCATCTAAAATATCTTTTCTTAATGGCATACACAATGGCCTCCCTAGTAGTTTTCTCTGTTACCATTTTATTAATGGTGACATTAATAAATAAATTTATTAATGTGTTGGTCAGTAATTTATCCAACTGAAATCTATGGGCACAATTTAATTTATTTGATTTTGGTTTTCATCTTGTCTGCATGTAGAGAACAACTGGTGGAATAAAATACATCTTCATATTTTATGCTATTTGTTCTTTAGCTAGACCATCACCTATAAATAACAATATCTTTAAAAATTCTCCTTCTTTATGTGTTTTAGTTGGCTCTATTTTCCTGTCTTTATGTAGGGCAGGCTTGTATCCAGAAGAAAACGCACTGATGCTCAGACCCTCCAGAGGGCGACAGGGGGTCTGAGAACAGGCCCCCGTCCTTGGGGGAGCCAAGATATCAGGGTCTTCCCTGAACTAGGCTTCTTCACCATTGCCAGCAATCGTGTGGCTTTGTTTCAGGGGATCTGCTGCTTCCAGAGTAGCTGAGAGCAAGAGGGGGGCTACACTGGGACTCTGGGGAAAGGGTCTGGAGCCCAAGAGCACACGGAGGCCTGGGTTAAATTCTCAGCATTTATCGTTTGTGACTTTGTTCATCATTAGTCATCATGAGGAATGAATTTGGTAAAAAGGATGCGGTATAACAGTACCTGATGAGAAACATCTTCAGACTGCCCTCGGTCCCCCAGTTCTTGGGATTGATTTATGCCTCATGACAAATGGAACTCTATTTTCTAATATACTTTTCCCCACGCAGGCACTTGTGACCTAGTATATATTATAAGTGCCCTAATAAATACAGGGGTTGGTTATATTCCTGTCTGCATGACTTATTCAGGATTCCAGGAGACC